TTTTTAACTGAAGCCACAACAACTTATCTGAGAGTCTTCTTTCCATGCAGCTGGCCTTATCTAGGCTGGTTTTCAGTGGGCCTTAAAAAGCCATTTGTTTCACTTTTATTAGACTTTTTGGTGATTGAGTACTTCATATATTACTGTCTTGAAAATGGATTTTAGCCATTAAAAGCATAATCTGAAATGCTAAAATTGCTCTCACATAATGGTAATTGGCAGCTCATTACTGGAATTTCTTTAAGTCAGCCACTGGCATTTGGCAAAAGAATAATGAATGCTTAGATCTATCTTCAAAGATGTCATATAGATCAATGAGATACTCCATGGTAAAAGCCAGAATTGCTTTCCTCCGTACTGGGTCTTGTTGCAAACCTTATTTCTGCAAGTAATTTCTGCAACTTTTTGCCTCCTCCCTCCTTTCCTCTTCCTCCTTCTCCTCTTACTTCTTCCTCCTCCTCCCTCCTTCCCCCTTCTCCTCTGTCTCTTTCCTTATTTGTAAAACACTCAGCTAAACTAACTTGTGGACATCCTGATTGTACTGTATTGTCAAACCTCAATTTCCTCTACCTTTTGAAGCAAAGATAAAAGTATGGCTGAATCCTGATTGTTCTCTTTTTCAAAATTTATTATTGAACTTTATCCATCTGAAAAGATTCTCACATCAACCTTCAATCCATCTATGTTGGAGTTTAACTTGTTAACAAACATATTCAGGAATCCAGGAAGGGGATTAGAGAGGGAGATGAAAAGGAAGTATTAAAGTTATTGCAATGTCTCATGGACTGTTGATGGATGAAACAAAATGAACAGTTAAGACCTAGAAAACATATTTTCTCTGTCTTGATGCCTTTTAGACATTCACACACAGAGAGAGACCATATTCATGGTTTCAGAGAGATGGAAAACTTCAGATCTCTTTCCATAAACCTCTTCATCTGGTAAGTAGACTTGTAAATAGGTTCCCCTACTTATATTCCCTGCCCCCTTTCTTATGGATTGCAAGAGAACATAAATCCATTACAGTACACAGATGTTGCTACAGGAATTTCAAAACTCAGTGGCTAAAGGTGTCTAGAATGTATACCCATTTACTGTACACGTGCACAAGACTCCTGTTCTATTTCCTCATTTTATTTTCCATTTCCATATATTTTAATATGTTATATCAACTATCATTTTTTTGCACAGCTATTTCTCTTCTTTTGTTTACCATTAAGGCCTACCAGTTAATCAACTGTCAGCAGACTACAAGTATTATCTTCCATCTTCAACAAACACACAGCAATGTTATCAAATAAATAATGCAGCTCTATATTTTTGTTTCTCTTCTTTATTTTGGGAAGCTTGGGGGGGAGGGTGTCAAAATGTCATGAGGTAAATAATTTTCTATCACAAGGCTTTTACTTTTGAACTGTTGATATTGCAATTTTTATGTGATTTTTACACAATATAAATAATTCCAGACCTCTTCATTACTTTCCTTGGTTAGAAAATGGGAATCATTGTGATTTATCCTGGGAAATTTAACTATTATATTCAAAGACACAGATACGAACAGGTATATTAAGAGTGCTCATCATGAGGATTCTCTAGCTAGGTTGGTCTAGTGGTTAAGGCACCAAACTAGAAACTGAGAGTCTGTGAGCTCAGGCATGAAAGCTATCTGAGCGCCTTTGGGCCAGTCATTCTCCTCATCCCAACTCACCTCCCATGTTTGTTGAAGGGAAAAGAGGAGGAGAGAGGAGCATTGATTGTGTTCACCATCTTTATAACAAATAACAAAGACAGGATAAAAATAAATAAAATTACCTGAGCAGCAAAATAGATTCAGCAATAACAGTAGGATTGCACATCTCTGCATCTTCTTATGGAAGACTGTGAAATATAATATTCTGAACTAAGATGGACAGAGGCCCAATCCAGCAGGTCTCTTCTTACATGCTTATGAAATCTTATATAGAAATAAAATGTGAAGTGTATTTGTTCAGTTACCTTGCCATCTTCTCTTTGTTTTAATCTTCCACCACATCTGTTCCTAACAGAAATGTTCAACATTCCCTAGTTTATATTTCTAAGAAGCCATCTGTTTGGAACATGTCCAAACTTTACACAAATACTGCATCAAATTCGCCCCTCAATATTTATGCCATTGAGAGATATAATATCATTCTGAAATGAAGAATCAAGATTTGGGGGATTTACAAATTCAACCATTTCAGAGCTCTCCATACCAGGAAAGGAGGTACCTTTAACTTGGGCTAAATGAAAAGGTGTTAGTACACTCAGGTTCAAAACAATAACTGCTGCCCCTTTAATTCTTGGCTTCTCTCCAGGGTCCTGAAATGTGCAGATGTTCAGAAATCCTGATGTTAATTGACTTGCCTATCACCCTCTCCTGGTTCCAATCCTTGACTTACCAGTCATGGGCACTGCTATACTATGAAAATATGCATGTCTAACCTTAACCAAGAAGGTTGAAGCTATTGACTAACTCCACCCTAGATAACCTAATATAAGTTTTCCCAACTTGCCACCCTCCCATTTCTGTTTATCTGGAATATAGTTGGGCCGTCTTCTGATGAGATGGAATTTATAAACTAGAATTAAATCAGGGCATTGACTGGCCAGAAAGACTCACAAAGATGACTGTGTTTTAAATTTGACTATCCCTGTAAGATTGCTACAATGACAGAATTATTCTTAACAGAGGAGAAAGAAGTTTCTGACAGATTTTTTTAAATAGAAAAAAACTGTATGGATGAGCCATCTTCAGCAATTTGATGACTTGCCACATGGGGGAGCAGCTGCAGCTCCTGAAGGATACCAGTCCTAAGTCTTGGTATAAAAAGATGAAACTGTTATGACTATAAGCAAAACGAAATCTGATCCATAATCTTTATGAAAAAGGATAGAAATGATAATCCCCTCTGAGTTATTTACAGTTCCAAGTGAGCACAGGTATTACATGTGATACTACTAGTAGTAATTTAATGTCGGGCTATAGTAGTGCTACAACTTGACTTTAGAAACCCTAGTATTTGAAAGTCTGAAAATACTTGTTTTCTGGTTTTCTTTTCCATCTCTCATCATAGAGATAACTGCATAGTAGAGAGGTGGTTGGGTGAGCAGAGGTTAAAACGACTGTTCTTTCTCCCTTTTCCTTATTACATCTGGATTTCTTTTCTCTGCCAACTCTGTTCTTTTGTTTTGGTGTTTTTGGTATTATTCCTTGAGTTTAATGTTTTTAACCATTGTAAACCACCCTGAGTCATTGGGAAGAACTGGAGATAGATGGATTCTTGCAAAAAAAAAAAGCCAACCCTAAGAATTATTTACAATTACAAGTGAGTACAGATATTACATTCAATCCTGCTACTAGTAGTTTAACGTTGGACTGTAGCAGCATTACAATTTGAATAATTTATTTGTGCTATTGGCAGAACTCATCCTTCCCAAGTTCAACCCAATAGGTCCCCAAGCAGGGTGGGATTCTGAAGCATCACCATAGATCGGGAGAGCCCTAGACCTATCAGGTACATGAGTGGGGGAGCAGCTCCTGGAATTCATAATCATCATGCTGCTGAAATGTATGGCCTATTAGAGCAGGGGTCCCCAACTCCCAGTCCACAGGCCAGCACCGGTCCGCAGCATGTCAGAAACTGGTCCAGGCAAACAAGTGAAGCCCCATTCAAGGAGTGCAGGCAGAAACATCACACACACATACACACACGGGTCCACAGAAAAACCTTTCTCCACAAGAAATAGGTTTAAACCTCAGTTCTGCCAACACAGATGAGATCTTATCCATTTGGAACTCTGCCAGCCCCTGAGATTTTCAGACTCTCCACTCCACTGAAAAGGAAGGTCCCAGCCCCCAAAAGTTTACAGGCTGCTGATTTTGCCCCTATAAATCTTGATACACCAATGCTATAAATTATTTGTTTGCATATCACAACCAGTCACTCAGCCATCATGCAAGGGAAATTACTTATCCCAATATGCCAAGAATATATGATTACAGATAACTTAGACAAGGAAAAGCTATTTTTGTCATGTTCTCCAATATAGATCCTGAAGTGGTGGAAGCAGAAAAACTAAAACAGATACAGAAAAATGAATAAATTAATCAACTGGAGTACAGTCAAAGGTCCATTTCCAATAAATTCAGTTCAACAAATTCCCAGACTTCTGTCAGGAAAAATATAAGAACAATAATCATCAACATATCAATACCTATGCATTTTTTTCCTTGCCTAAGAAAAGTAGAACCTTACTTTTTTCACCAAAATGAAATTCAGTGGTGAAAAAACTAAGGTTCTACCTTTAGGCAAGAAAAACAAAATGCACAGGTACTATAGGTGGTACCTCGCTCAATACTAGTAACTGTGAGCGGAATCTTGGAGTCCTAGTCGACAATCATTTAAATATGAGCCAGTACTGCTGTAGCTGCCAAAAAAGCTAACACAGTTCTAGGCTGCATAAACAGAGGGATAGGATCAAGCTCAGGTGAAGTGTTAATACCACTTTATAATGCCTTGGTAAGGCCACACTTAGAATATTGCAACGGTTGCTGGAATTGGGTATGTCTAGTTTAATGAAAAGAAGGACTAGAGGTGACATGTCAGCAGTGTTCCAATATCTCAGGGGCTGCCACAAAGAAGAGGGAGTCCAGCTATTTTCCAAAGCACCTCAGGGCAGGACAAGAAGCAATGGATGGAAATTAATCAAGGAAAACTAGAACTAAGAAGAAATTTCCTGATAGTTACAACAATTAATCAGTAGAACAACTTGCCTCTAGTAGTTGTAAATGCTCCAACACTGGAAGTTTTTGAGAAGAGATTGTACAACCACTTGTCTCCAAAGTCTCTGTTATTCTGTTATTACATTTTCCAATTGCAGCTATAAGGGTGGTTTTGATTGGTTTCTTTTGATTTTATATACCACTTGTTCATCTTCTTCTTCACTTCATGTAAAAAGAGGTCACCCCAATGGAGTCTCCATCAGGACTCAGCAGGAAAGAAAAGGACAGAGTCTAAGGCCAGTTGAGTCACACCAATATAACAGTTCTCGAGTTACAAATGCCAACTTGTGGCCATTCTTTTTTTCAGCCACAAAAATGCCACAGACACAGTGGGGCACACACAAATGGTACAGACCACACCAGATTCAAAGGAAAGAAGGACTTTTGACCATTTGCACATTCAGGTCATCTGTTGAGAATTTTTCTTCTCTTCTCCTGAAAATTCTTGGTGTCAAGCACTAGATATAAGAGAAGCGGGAGGGGAAGGGGAAAGGGAGGACAACGGGTATGCTCATCTGGTCCGGGGTAATCCCAAAGAATGTTTATATAAGTACCAACTCAGCAATTGTGTTCAGATTTCACATCAAGTGATACTGAGGCTATGTGGATTTGGATGTGTGCATGTGGTATACTGTAGTTTTTAAATCATAGTTGATGAAATAAAATACCGATTGTAGATTATTCAATGAAACATAGTTTTAAAATGGTTTAGTTTAGCATGAGATTCAAGCATGGGAGAACCCTTAGCTCCAATAAGTCTCCTTCATCACCATGTTCTCCAGCTTGAAGTACTAGATTTATAATGGGGATCTCCAAAATCAACACACTGGGAGGGTCTCCTAAGCTCCTTACCCATCACATCTTACAAACATTGATCCTGTTCCTCAACCTTTACTGAAACCCCTAAGCTCTTTAAACAATAGTTAAGTTATAGAAAAAGATGGGGTTGGGATTCAAAGCTGTTTGGAAGTTCCATTGATTCATTTTATGAGTCCACCAAGCTACATGGTGGCTTAATTCTGTCTCAATAGGTTATGCCCTCTCTTCCAGTGTGATGTTTTAAGATAATGTATGAACTCAACCAGTTGTGATTTATCCAATACATTACCGTTAAAGAAACCATGATTTAAGACAATGCATGAAGCCTATCACTTCTCACCAGAACAGTGTGTCCAACCTGTTCAGTATCTAAGTACCACTTTAACCTTACACTGTATTTTCTTCTCCTTGATGTTATCTAAATGAAATATATGGGAAAGACCATAAGACAGGAGTGATTCTTCCATGCCTTTCTCTGTCACCTCAACAAGTGAACAGTTCAAACCAATGCAAGGTCACACCACACTAAAGGCTTCTATTTCATACCTCCATGGAGGAGAGGAGGATGTGGCTGTAAAATCTCACACCAAATAATTTCACAATTGTTTCTAAAAGCCACCCAAGAAGGCAACCTCCGGGTTAATAATATTTGCCATGACCCAGGTTAGGCCATAATAAAAATGAAAGAGTAATATTTCATGTCAATGAGCAGCAATAAGTGAAGAAAAGAAACTACTGACTTTACAAACTACTAACAGGTCTCCTTAGGAGTTTAAATTGAATTTGCAGAAACTGGGAAGAAGGAAAAAGATCATGGTGAAACATATTATTATTCATCCCTTGGCACATTCAATAGTGCTAAAACAGAACCTGCAGACTGCCTTCCAGTTTTGTATCAAATTTAATTTTCTACAATAACTCTTCTGACTTCTGAATGCACATTATTTTATTCCTACTGCCCAATTTTTTCAGGACATAAAAGACTGTTTGCCATATCTATTTTCTTACCTAGAAGCCCCCTAAAAAAGACCTTGGCTCAAGATTTCCTAAAATATAGATTTATTTTGAAAGTTAAAGCCACAGTTGCTCTAATACAATACTCATTTTAATTGACATTCAGGCTATTCTTTTAATCTCAATAAAGTGAAATACTCAGGTTATTAATTTCTATATTATTGCATTATTCTGTGCCTTTTCTTTCTATACCATACCTGATATTGTATATTTAAGAATATCTGAATAATCCTGTGGTATCAAGACCAACAGAGGCCAACTAGATGCTATGACCCTATTATCTTTTCATATATAAAGGAGTGTAAATAACATTCTCAGCCAAGAACAGTTTGGCTTATAGTTCCTACAGTTAATTGCAGGATCCGATAACAGAACAGAGCAGCTGATCATTTTTTAAAAAGATAAGGCAAGCAAAGGAGAGAAGTGACTTCATCATCTCGCTGATATACTATGACTGACAACGCAGCTTGCAAGCACGTGACTTTGAATTGCATTTTTGATTATTGATGGACAATATTGGCTTGGATTTTTAGGCAAATTTTCTTCTCTCCCCCTCCCCCCCTTTCTCGGTTGGCATTTTTATTTTACTTTATTTGGAGCAACTCCTTGGAATGGAAGTAAATATAGGGAGTCCTCGGCTTATGATCACAATTGAGCCCAAAAGTTCTGTGGCTAAGTGAAATATTTGTTAAGTGAGCTTTGCCCCATTTTATGATCTTTCTTTCTACCGTTGTTAAGTGAATCACTGCAGTCAAGTTAATAACAGGTTGTTGAATGAATGTCACTTCCCTGTTGACTTTGCTTGTATGAAGGTTGCAAAAGGTGATCACATGAACCCAGGACAATCAGTTACCAAGCATTTGAATTTTGATCACATGACCACTGGGGTGCTACAATGGTCAAAAATGTGAAAAAAGGTCATAAGTTTTAACTGAACAGTCATTAACTCTGATAAATTGAGGATTACTTGTAAATAAGTTAAGACTGTTTATGGACAAGCTGTAAAGCCCTTGAGAAGTTCCCTTTCTTACACCATTAAAAAAACTTGCTGATTGATTCCTACTGTTTGCTTCCTCTTTTTCACCAACTACCAATATTCCCTTATTCCATGAGAGCTAATTTTCTCCACGTATTCAATGAGGCACTTTCTGAAAATCCAAGTATGCAACAACAGCATTGACAGGACAATCTCTGGCCACATGTCTGGCTGTCCAATCCGTATCATCTAAAAATGAACATGATCATAACAACCACGATCATTTGATTTATGCCTCAAAGAAGCCCTTGTGTGTGTGTCCCAGAAAGGGATTAAAGGAACAAAGCCGCAGGACAGGAAATAAATGGTACATTAACTTTTGCAGTCAAGAACAATAAAGTCCATTATGATGAAATAAAATTAAAAGGATTAAGAGAACAGCATCAACAGACAAGTGACAAATCAAGTGTAGCTTCCATGACTTAAGTGAAAACAACGCAGAAAACCCGTGAGTTTACCCCCCAAAAAACCTTTGCTTCTACAGTTTCTCTCAAGGGAGATGAAAAATCATGAGAAATTAGGATTTATATAGACGACCATTGACTGATTAACCATATGCCCTGCCTTCCCTCCAGAAGCGCAAGGCCATCAGGTTGTCCACGACTTATGGCTACAATTGACATCAAAATTTCCATTGCTAAGCAAGGTGACAATAAAATGAAATTCAATGTAGAGAAAAGTAAAGTCCTATACTTAGGCAAGAAAAAACAAAAGTATCCATATAGACTGGGTGAACCAGGCTCAATAGCAGTAACTGTGAGAGGGATCTTGGAGTCTTAGTGGACAACCAGCTAAATAGGAGCCAAAAGTGTGCAGCAGCAGCCAAAAAAACCAATGCAATCCTAAATTGCATTAACAGAGGGATACAATCGAGATCAAGTGAGGTACTAATACCACTCTATAAAGCCTTAGTAAGACCTCACCTAGAGTACTGCATCCAGTTTTGGTCACCACACTGTAAAAAAGATGTTGAGGCTCTAGAAAAAGTGCAGAGAAGAACAACCAGGATGATTAGGGGATTGGAGACTAAAACATATGAAGAACAGCTACAGGAGCTGGGCTTGGCTAGTCTAGTAAAGAGAAGGACCAGGGGAGACATGATAGCAGTCTTCCAATATTTGAGGGGGAAGGGGTCAAGCTATTTTCTAAAGCGCCTGTAGGCCAGACAAGGAATAATGGATGGAAACTGAACAAGGAGAGATTTAACCTGGAAATAAGGAGAAACTTTCTGACAGTGAGAACAATCAACCAATGGAACAGAAGTTGCCCTGGGAAGTTGTGGGAGCACCATCACTTGAGGCCTTCATGAAGAGATTGGACTGCCATTTGTCAGAAATGGTGTAGGGTCTCCCGCTTGGCGGGGGGTTGGACTAGATGACCTACAAGGTCCCTTCCAACTCTGATTATCTGTTATCTGGTTGTTAAGTGAATCACACCAATTTTAGGACTTTTTTTTGCCATGGTTGTTCAGTGAATCATGCGATCATTGAGCAAATTCTGCTTCTCTCATTGACTCTGCTTGTCAGAAGCCAGCTGGGAAGGTTGCAAATAAGGATCACGTGACCTTCAGAAGCACCTGAATTTTAATCATGTAACTGTGGTCTGCTGCAATTGTTATCAATGTGAGGAAGGGCTGAAAGCCACTTTGACAGTTGCCCTGGGAATTAAAAGGAGCAAGGCTATCTGCTTTCACCCATCAGCCCCCAAAACCAAGAGTGATGCACCTGCTATTCAAACAAGGAGACCTCCGCCTCCTCCAGGGTAGGTATCCTGCAAATCAGGTTGTCCAGCCTTGAGAACTTTAAGACTTGTGGACTTCAAACTTCCAGAATTCTAGGAATTGAGGTCCATAAGTTTTGTTGACACCAATTGGGCACTTTTCTTGATAATGAGTTTATAATTTCCTTCCTGTTCCCCCCCCATTTCCTAATCTTATCCACAGCCTTAGAATTTCCTTGTGTCTCCCATCCAATCCACTCCTAAGCCCACCCTGCTTAGTTTTTCCAGATCAGCTGAGTGTTGCTGCCAAACTTTGTAAGGCTAAAAATACATATTCAGCATGCTTTCAAGAATTGGTCTTTCTTTTTTTCTCTCTCTCACCTTCTGCGTTTTTTCATGAATTTCCTCCTAACCGGACTGTCCTGGATTAGAGAGGCTGGCCTCTATCTTGGTTTCTTCAGCCACACTTCCCTCCCTAGGCCACAAAAGCTGAGTTCACACAAATGGGTTAAAGAAACCAAATGACCACATTGGGGCCCTGCGGGAAGCTGGTTATTGTAAAAGAAACTAAAAGCACCAACAACCAACAACCTGAGTTACTAAACCAAGCCCAGCTGGAGTTGGTTTTATTCAAACTTCAGGGCGGTTTCAGAACCATTACCAATGGCTTGGGGGGGGGTGTTCTTTCTTGAGGCGAGTCCTGCGTCCAAATGGCACAGGCGCTCGTTAATTAGTGGCTATTTTATTGAGGGGGGAAAATCCTGTTTTCGGGCTTCCCACCTTGCGCCAAGTCAAACGGTTGAGCAGCAGAACACTTTTTATCAAGGAGTTGCAAGCTTTGCAAAAACGCTGCGCCTGGCTCCGTCCCTGCCACGAGGCGGTTTGCTTGCTCGGGGCCGAACTCTGACTGTGGCTTACCGTCTTAAACAGGGGTCCCCAAACTTGGCAACTTTAAGACTTGTGGACTTCAACTCCCAGAGCTGGCTGGAGAATTCTGGGAGTTAAAGTCCACAAGTCTTAAAGTTGCCAAGGTTGGAGAGTTCTGGCCTTAAAAGAAAAAAAAAACAGCGGGGGGGGCTTATTTAGCAAGATTTAATCACCGGGGGAGGCGACCGCGTCCGGCGAGGCGAACCCGCCTCCTTTCTGCAGCCCCAGCTGGTTCGGCAGCGAGAGAGGCGTGCCCGGGGGCGGGTTGGAAGACTACACCTCCCGAGGGGCTTTGCGCGGCCCAAACAAGGGGGCGGGGCGGGCGCTCCGCGGAGCCTTCGCTGCGCTAGAGGAGGCGGTTGCGGCTCTCGTAAGGCGATCGGTGTCTCTCTCTCTCTCTCCCCGGCCATGTCCGCCGCCTGTTGTCGCCCCGCTCCGGAGCCCACGCTGGGCAGGGCTATCCCCGGCCCTAACAAGCTGCTCGACTTGGCCCAGGGAGTCTCCTTGCCTCCGGGCGACTACGGCACCACGCCTGGCGGCACCCTCTTCGGAACCACGCCTGGCGGTGAGCAGAAGCCGCTGGAGGGAGGAGAGGTTGGCGTGCCTCTGAGCATGCAGAGAGCGCCCAGAGGGGGAGATGCTGAGAGGGTCTCTGAGCACGGAGAGAGAGCCACAGAAGGGAGAAGAAGCAGTGTAAACAGTCCCTCTGAGCATGGAGGAGAAGGACTGTGCCTTGCCTTTGAGTATGCAAAGAGCATGCAGAGGTGTTAAGGGAGCCTCTGAGCATGCAGGGAAGGGAGCAGGAAAAGAGAGCGGAGCACCAAGGGGAGCCTCTGCCATGGAAAGAAGGGCAGTGGGGTGGGGAACGCGAGAAGGAAAGTATTGCAAACCTTGGAAGAGAAGGAGCAAGAAAGTGAGCTGGCCTGCTGGTGGAGGGTAAAACGTCTTGTACAATAATGCTTCTGGGCTAATGTTCCTGCAGGTTAAGGTAGGGTAATTGTTCTTCTGAGAAGGGAGCGATCCGGGGCTTAACCCTGAAATGGTGCCCAACTTTTTAAACTCCTTTCGAAGTCGCGCTAATGTCTTTCCAAGAAGGGCAGACAGTTCTGTCCCGCCATGCACGGCCAGCTGTCAGGCTGGACTCAAGCTTGCCAGCTTTTCTCCACTTATTCAAGAGTTTTCGTTTGATCAATAACCCCCTGAACTCTGTGTGGGTAAGAGAAAGGAGGATTCACCCCAAGAGGGAATACCACAATGGGGCTAAACCTGATTTCAGACTTCTCCTATTCTTAATGGAAAAGGCTGGCATTCTTCACACACACACACACACACACACACACACACACACACACACAGTGGAATTAAGGTCCTTAAGAGGTGGCATATTTCTTTAAGATGGGCCCTAGGCCTACTCTGTCATGAAATCTCTCAATATCTGTGTAGAAAGACAATGCATAAATGAGTTCAGAGGCCACAATAAACAAAATGGAGTGGAATTTTCTTATTTGTCTAAAAGGAAACAGAGTGGACATGGATCAAGCATCCAGTAGGGATTTTCCAGCCAGGAACAGCCTTTCCTGGGAAAATGCTCAAAATGGCTAATATCCCATCTGAAACTTGCTTATAGATATGAGGATCCTGGCTCAGAATAATATTTATCTCCAATTTGGTGCCTTTCCAAGTTTAGATTAATTAATACTTAGGTTCTCAGTGGCTCCCTTGAGTGCCTTAACAGTACAAACATTGGCCAGGGAAGAAAATACTGTGCTTTGAAGGTAATCAGGAATAGTGATTGAAGCCTAGAAACATTTACAGGAGACTAGCAATGAATCATGGATCATTAAGGACCTTTTTTTTTTAATCCAACAGAAAAACCACTGTTCCGTAAAGTGTGCTGTAAGGTGTGAGTGTGGTGTATAAAGAAGCATTGCACAGAAAGTTTTTTGTCCCAGGCTTTGGTGTAGGAAACCTGACACAAACCTCTGAACTACAAACTCTGCAAAATAGGCTTGCTTTTTTTCAGAATACAGGCATGCCTATCCGTACCTCTTAATTGCATTTGGACCGGATGTGTTGTGTAAACGAGGGCTGAGAACATAAGAGTAAATAAATGTAACATTGCAACATTTTTGATGGCGGGCAGACTGGGAACAAGATATATTTTCTGCCTGAGGTGTATTTAGGAGTGCACGACTAGGACTCTTTTAAGACATCAGTACAGATAGTCCTCAAATTATGACCACAACTGAGGCCAAAATTTATGTGGCTAAGTGAAACATTTGTTAAGTAAGTTTTGCCCCATTTTACAACTTGTCATGGTTGTTAAGTGAATCATTGCAGCTATGTTAAGACCAGGCTTGTGACCTTGCAGACCATGTGACCTTGTGGATGCTGCAATGATCTTAAGTGTGAAAAACAGTAATCAGTGGTGTAATTTTGAACAGTCACTAAATAAACAGTTGTAAGTAAAGGACTACCTGTATCCAATGCAGTAAAATACAGTGGGTACCATAGCTTATTTGCTTTCTTAAAAACAGCCCAAGTCTGAATTAAAATGTATTTGTTAAAACTGAGGCATCTTGAAGCCGTAGGTTTTGCTTCTTTTTAGCTATTTATTTATAAACCACCCATGTGTCAATTGCAAACTCAGTGATACATGGGTAAATGGTTGCTGCTTCTGATTGTCATGATGCTTCCTCTAATAGACAGGCTGATGCATGCAACTTCAAAGTTTAATTCCTAATTTCTGATGCAAAGTAGCGAGTGCCTTTAACTCTGGATACATTTAAGGGAACTTTAGCAGGCAGTCCATTCTGGAATGTATTTGGGGGGCTGGAGAAGAGGCACATGGCAGGTCATGGGAACTGGGTGTCAGTAAATGCAACTTAAATCACAGGGGTGGACTTCTAAACTTGCATATTTTTGTCCAATAAAATGTGCAACTTTTCTTAGGTGAGATCTAGTCTGTAAACAATATGTTCATTAAAAAGAGAATAACTTGAAGTATTCATGACTGCGTGGCAGGTACTGGATTGACACTTAAAAGAAGCATGCATTTGAAGAGCAATTCTGGTTTGCTTCAAAAAAGAGGAATACTGGTAATATTTTATTAAATTTGTATGCTTATCCGACTCTCAATGACTCTGGGTGGCCCCAACAAAGAAATTGTAATAAAAGATAAAAATAAAAGATGGCAGGTGTGACAAAGGCGGTCTCTCTCTGGCCAAAGTCTTGGGTGAAGAGCCAGGTCTTCCTGGCTCTTCTAAACAGAAGAGTGAGGACTGTCCAGATCTGAGGTTGGGGTGGACTATAACCTTATAGAAAACGTGTGGTTGTTTCTTCTGTGCTTCAGTATATTGTGTGTTGCATCATCTGCCATTCTGAGAAGTTATTTTTGAACGTGGTTTGGATTGCAGTAAGTACAAGTCAGAGAAGTATTGCAATAAATACTGCTATAGAGAAGATGCACTTCAAGAGTCCCAATAGACAACATTGTTTAATTATTGTTCGCTTTTCCAGTTTCTCCACTTGCAGAGAATAACTGTCCTATCCTCTCTGCTGGCATTGCCCAACGTGTGATCGAAGCCATCTTTTTTCTCTTATCACTAAGCAAAACACTCATAGACACAACTTTAGCATTATTGAAATTGAAAATACAGTTTCCATAGTACAGGTGACCTTGAGTTTCAAGGTCTGGCCTCTTTGTCTTGTGTTATTTAATCATCCAGTAGTTTTGTGGCATTGTCAACAACAAGCAAAAAAGATGAGGGAAGGAGGGAGGAAGGGAAGAAGGAAGGGAAGGGAAGGGAAGGGAAGGGAAGGGAAGGGAAGGGAAGGAAGGAAGGAAGGAAGGAAGGAAGGAAGGAAGGAAGGAAGGAAGGAAGGAAAAACACAAGGAATTTGTTTTATTTGACCGATAAGCATCAGTGAATGAATTTGCCTGCTTTCTCAATCAGTTGAAAAGCCTGTTGCAATCAGAAATGATGCCATTAAAAGCTATTGTTGCTGGGTGGAGGAGGGTGAGTTTACAGCTGCTTTTCACTAAAACAAGAATGAATGTGTGTGTGTGTGTGTGTGTGTGTGTGAATGAATGAATGACTAACGTGGAAAAGCAACATGAACAACCTACAGCTCTTTGATTTTCTATGTCCTAACATTGAAATAAATAGGGGGAATTTTATAAAGGAAACTAACCTATCTACGGATAGTCCTCAACTTACAACAATTCGTTTAGTGACTGTTCAAAGTTACAACAGCACTGAGAAAAGTGATTCGTGACCGTTTTTCACACTTACAACCATTGTAGCATCCCTGTGGTCACATGATCAAAATTCAAATGCTTAGCAACCGACTCGTCTTCAGCAATATTGCCCCCAACAATTTGAGTCCTCATTTTAGTGACCTCGGAAGGATGGAAGGCTGAGTCAATCTTGAGCCGGTGAGACTTGAACTGCCAAACTGCTGGCAATGGGCAGAATTAGCCTGTAATATTTCATTCTAAGCACTGTGCAACAATGGCTCAAAGTTTATGATGGTTACAGTGTCCTGGGGTCATGGTCACCTTTTGCGACCTTCTGGCAAGTAAAGTCAATGGGGAAGCTAAACTCACTTAACCACCATGTTAGTAATTTAATCACTGCACTTAACAATTGTATGTTGTAAAATAAGGCAAAATCCACTTAAACAGCAACAAAAATGTTGAGTCAATTATGGTTGTACGTCAAGGATTTATAGGGGAAGTTTGCAAAATTCCTTTGGTTCTTTGAAGTCAATCTTAGGTGGGATTAAAGGGGTGCATAATGTGGTTTAGAGACACCATGCTCTGAGCAGTTTTGCTTCCCTACATTTGTGCACACAGCCCAAGGGTCAGTGTGAGATTTGCACAGTTGCAGCAGA